GCATTGGATTGGCTGGGAATGGTGGCTCACACCTGCAATCCCAGCACTTTCAGAGGCCAAGGTGGGTGGATCACCTGAGACCAGGAGTTCGAGGCCCGCCTGGCCAACAAAGTAAAACCCTGTCTCCACTAAAAGTACAAAAATTAGCTGAGCATGGTGGTCAGCGCCTGTCATACCCCTACTCGAGAGTCTGAAGCAAGAGAATTGCTTGAATTCAGGAGACAGAGGTTGCTGTGAGCCGAGATTGCACCTCTACACTCCAGCTTGGGTGACAGAGCAAGATTCCATCTCAAAAAAAAAGAAAAGCCGTTGAATGTAGACGCATAGATTATATCTGTGTTCTTCATTTTACTCCGTTGTTCTATGCACTTTTCTTTATGCCAACGTCATGCTGTTTTGTTTACTACAGCTCTGTAACATATTTTTAAGTCAGGTAATGTGATGTTCCTGTTTTCTCTCTATATCTTAAAGTCTCGAGACAATGGGTAACACATACAAAAATTTTGGAGAAGAGGACCCCAGGACTCCCAGAGCCCAGTGTTGGATAACAGAGTGTTGGCCGTGAACCAACCTCAAAGATTTCCCTTGAGTAGAGGACAGGCACCCTCATTTCCTCACCTCTCTCCTGTCTCTATTCTAGGAAACCCTTCACGTAGTTGGCCTTCACCCACTGAACCAAGCTCCAAAACCAGTGAGTAAAGAATCCCTCTTACCTCTGCTTTTGGAAACCTGGGGAGGTGGAAGCCTTGGATTCAAGCCTTGGCTCAGCACCTCCCAGCTCTGACTGTGGGCCTGTCTTCCACCATCTCTCTGAACTCCAGACACTCCAACAGCAAAAGGGATCTTGGCCCAGCACAGGGCTCAGTGAAGTCTCTTAATCTCTAATTTTCTGTAGCTGAGACCTCCTACAAGCTTAAAGAATGATTGCAAATCTGACATCCTTCTCAGGAAAAATGCAGTGTTCTCCCTGCGTTCCTAACTGGAGGATAAATTCCTGGGGGCTTGAAAGAGGGAAGGGAAGAAAACATCTAATGACGGTGAGGTGTTTCAGAGAAGTTCCACTTGCCAAGGAATGAACTCCTGTGGGTCATGAGGCAACCCTGGCTGACTCAGCAGAGCAAGAGCCTTGAGTAACAGAGAACAGAGCTCATGCACGCACACTGCGACTCACGGACTCATTCAGCCACAGCCCCATGCTCAGGCTGGGCAGTCAGAATCCTTTCCTATTGTTGCCATAACAAATTTCCACAAAATTGGTGAATGAAAACAAAACGGCTTTTTAATTATCTTACAGTGCTGTAGCTCAAAGGATGAAATACATCTCACTGGACTAAAATCAAGGTGACAGCAAGGCTGCCTTCCCTCCGAAGGTTCCAGGCGAGAATCTGCTCTTCACATGTCCCAGTTTCTACAGACTCCCACGTTCCTTGGCTCCTGGTCCCCTTCATCCTTCCTCCTTCCTCAAAACAGCAGGAGAAAGCTGGGTCTCCCGCCATCAGGCCGCTTGTCCTAAGGAGACATTCCACATGGTTACCTGTCAATCAAGAAACGAGAGACAATCCATAACAAGGAACTGCTATGATTAGCTTCTTATTGGTGTCTCTTCTTCCTCCAGGTATCCCCAGACACCTGCATGTTCTGATTGGGACCTCAGTGGTCATGATCCTCTTCACCATCTTCTTCTTTCTCCTGCATCGCTGGTGCTCCAACAAAAAGAGTAAGTCTCACAAAGCAGAGGCCACAGACCTCAGGGCCGTGTGGGGAAGCGGGATGGGAGCACGCGGGTGTGTGTTTCTCACCGGCAGGATGAATCTGGCCCAAGGCAGGAGCCACAGAGGCAGGGATTTCTAGAGAGAGCACCAAACACCCTGTCCCTGCCTTCAGCTCACAGACCATTGCCTGATTCTCAACTGTATCCTCATGTCCCTGCAGCCACTGACATCCAGGAGAAGGTTCTATGACAGGCAGAAAGTGGGAGACAGAATCACTGGGATGCCAGTTGAGAGCCATTCATGGGAAGGGGTCTTGAACTCAGAGAAACAGAATGTCTGAGCCTGGCTGTTGGCAGCTGAGGGACCTCAGGCACCTACGGCCTCCCCTGTGTGTTGGACTCTGCACATGAAATGAGGACCCAGAAGTGTCCTCCCAGCTGTTTTGATGACTTTTGTCTCCTACAGATGCTGCTGTAAAAGACCAAGAGCCTGCGGGGGACAGAACAGTGAACAGGGAGGTAGGTCCTCCTCGGCCCAACCTCATGGATCGAATCTTATTCCCTAATAGTCCTGAAGAATGTGAGCCCCTCCCTCACTCAACATTTCCCTCTCTCCAGGACTCTGAAGAACAAGACCCTGAGGAGGTGACATACGCACAGTTGGATCACTGCGTTCTCACACAGGGAAAAACCACTCGCCCTTCTCAGAGGCGCAAGAGACCCCCAACAGATACCAGCGTGTACATAGAGCTTCCAAATGCAGAATCCAGATCGAAAGTTGTCTCCTGCCCATGAGCACCACCGTCAGGCCTTGAAGGGGTCTTCTAGGGAGACAACAGCCCTGTCTCAAAACCGGCTTCACAGCTCCAATGTACCAGCCGCAGGAATCTGAAGCTGTGAGTCTGCATCTTAGGGCATCGCTCTTCCTCACACCACGAATCTGAACGTGCCTCTCTCTTGCTTACAAATGTCTAAGGTCCCCACTGCCTGCTGCAGAGAAAACACACTCCTTTGCTTAGCCCACAATTATCCATTTCTCTTGACCCCTGCCCACCTCTCCAACCTACTGGCTTACTTCCTAGTCCTACTGGAGGCTGCAGTCACACTGAGGAACTCACAGTTCCAAACATACAAGAGGCTCCCTCTTAACACGGCACTTAGACTCATGCTGTTCCACCTTCCCTCATGCTGTTCCACCTGCCCCCAAGACTATCTTTGAGCCTTCTGTCAGCAGTGAAACTTATAAATTTTTTTTATCATTTCAATGTAGCTCTCTCCTCTTCAAATAAACACATCTGCCCTCATCCTTTAGGTAATGTGACTCTTTATTCGCCGAAAGTTTCTGGTGTTATCATTACTATGTCCGTATAGCCCCATATGTTCTCCACTGGGTTCTCACCCCTGGACTCTGAGTTTCTGGAAGCAGGTGGAGCCTGATTTCTGTCTGGAAGTCCAATTTCCATCCAACGATGCAGCACATAGAAGGTTGCAAGGATCATGAATCAGATGAACAAGTGATATTCTTACTCTCTGCAGACCTGGAAAGCTGGCAGAGCCATTCCAAGATGAAACATCTGTAGAGTCATAGGCCTTGTTAGTCTCATCTCCACAGGGACACATGTCTACACATCATCTTCATACTATAAATACACAGTCGCTCCTCCAGATCTGTGGGGTTTAGAGGTGTTTGTTGAACCAACTATAAATCAAAAATATTCAGAGAAAAAATCCAAAAAATTTCAAAAAACAAAACTATGTTGAATGGACACAAATGGAATGGTGTGTAGGCTGTGTCAGGAATTATAAGTAATCTAGAGATGATTTCATGTATACAGGAGGATGAACATGGGTTATATGCAAACGCTCTGCCATTTTATGTAAGAGGCTTGAGCACCTGCAGATTGTGGTATCTGAGCGGAGATCCTGAAACCAATCACCCACGAATAGTGAAGGACGACTGTATCTAACTTCTATTTCTCAATTTTAAATATAAATCATAAAAAATTTACAGCAACAGATAAAAAACAAGAAGTGGTTTATAGTGTGAGAGTACGTTTAGATTATTTTTTTCTATGCGTAACCCTTGGGCCCATGTTATCTATGGAGAAGACATTCTATTCCTCCTTAAACCACACGGCAGGCTTTGTCAATTCTAACGGGACTGTGTGTTCACGGATGTATTTTAGAGACTGTTTTCCGATAAGGGGCTCTCTGCGTTCACTCTCTTGAGGATGCTGCACATTCCGTAGGCTTTTACAAACCCTTACAATTTGGTACCTGGAGTCCTCTAGTTTCTTATTATAGGCTATTGCTAGGCTTTTTCTATATTTCTTCAGGCAGAGTCTCGCTCTGTCGCCCAGGCTGGACTGCAGTGGCACAATCTCGGCTCACTGCAACTTCCGCCTCTCAGGTTCAAGCGATTCTCCTGCCTCAGCCTCTTGAGTAGCTGGCATTACAGGTGCCCACCACCAGGCATGGCTAATTTTTGTATGTTTAGCAGAGACATGGTTTCTCTAAGTTGGCCAGGGAGGTCTCGAACTTCCAACCTCCGTTGATCCGCCCACCTCGGCTTCCCAAAGTCCTGGGGGACACTTGATTTTTTATAGCATTGTGTTACTGGATATTTCCATACAATTTAAAACGAGGGAGGCAGAGAGACAGACAGAGAGCGAACCATGTGCTGGGACTCTGGAATCTCAGGTCATGAGACAAATTGTAGATAAAGTGACAAAAATCCAGAATTGACATGTTGTGGGTTTTGCTGATGAAGAACAGTTTAAGATTGTAAATAATTGCATAATCCTTCCCTGGGTATTTAAATCATTTTAAACTGGTTCTGCTGTCATACTAGAAATACAAGCATGAAACATCCTAATGGTTTATTCACAATTGCTCTGACAACGTTCATAATACCTATTAGATATTTTACATATTACACACTAAGAAGAGTTTGAAACACAGATAAAAACAACAAAAATACATGAAAAGTCTTTCTCGTCAGCACAGATTTTAGTCACCTCGTGTCCGGGAGGTTGGATCTGTGACGTGTTTTGAGCTGGTCATAGTGAAGGACACAAGGTGTCAGTTCTAGTGAGAACCATTTCCAGGAAGCCATTTTCCACTCTTGAGTGAGCACCCGCTGCACCTCATGCAAGGTAGGAAGAGCCTGCGTACGTCACCCTCCCATGATGTGGTCAGCACGTCAACTGCATGGGCAGGGCGCCAGATAACATCCTGTGCGCTGCTGAGCAGAGCTGGGACGCGGCCGCCTTTCTGCACCGGCAGCACCATGTCGCTCATGGTCGTCAGCGTGGCGTGTGTTGGTGAGTCCCGGAAGGGAATCGAGGGAGGAAGCGCTGGGGTGGAGATCTGGGCCTGGAGGGGCAATCTGGACCTGGAGGTTGAGTTATGGGCCTGGAGTGGAGATATGATCCTGGAGTGGAGATCTGGGCCTGGAGTGGAGATATGATCCTGGAGTGGAGATATGGGCCTGGAGTGGAGATATGATCCTGGAGGGGAGATCTGGACCTGGAGGTTGAGTTATGGGCCTGGAGTGGAGATATGATCCTGGAGTGGAGATCTGGGCCTGGAGTGGAGATATGGCCCTGGAGTGGAGATATGTTCCAGGAGTAGAGATTGGGTCTGGAGTGGACATAGGAGCCTGGAAGGGAGATATGGGTTTGGAGTGGAGATATGGACCTGGAGTGGAGATACGGGCCTGGAGGGGAGATATGAGCCTGGAGTGCAGATATGAGCCTGGAGAGGAGATATGGGCCTGGGGTGGAGATATGGGCCTGGAGTGGAGATATGGGCCTGGAGTGGAGATATGGACCTGGATTAGAGATAGGATCCTGGAGTAGAGACATGAGCGTGGAGTGGAGTTACGGGCCTGCAGTGGAGATACGGGTCTAGAGGGAGATATGGGCCTGGGCTGGAGATCTGGGCTGGAGTGGAGATAGGAGCCTGGAGTGGAAATATGTTCCTGGAGTAGAGATATGAGTCTGGAGTGGAGATATGGACCTGGAGTGGAGATCTGGGCCTGGAGGGGAGATATGAACCTTGAGGGGAGATATGGGTTTGGAGTGGAGATATGAGCCTGGAGTGCAGATATGAGCCTGGAGAGGAGACATGGGCCTGGGGTGGAGATAGGGGCCTGGAGTGGGAGATAGGAGCCTGGAGGGGAGATATGAGCCTGGAGGGGAGATATGGGTTTGGAGCAGAAATATGGGCCTGGAGAGGAGATCCGGGCCTGGAGTGGAGATATGAGCCTGGAGAGGAGATAGGGCCTGGGGTGGAGATAGGGGCCTGGAGTGGAGATAGGAGCCTGGAGGGGAGATATGAGCCTGGAGGGGAGATATGGGTTTGGAGCAGAAATATGGGCCTGAGAGGAGATCCGGGCCTGGAGTGGAGATAGGAGCCAGGAGTGGAGATAGGGTCCTGGAGTAGAGATATGAGACTGGAGTGGAGATAAGGGCCTGGAATGGAGACATGGGCCTGGAATTTGATATGAGCCTGGAGTGGAGATATGGGCCTGGATTGGGAGATATGGCCTGGGTGGAGATAGGATCCTGAAGTGGAGATATGAGCATGGAGAGGAGATATGAGCCTGGAGTGGAGATATGGGCCTGGGTGGAATATGAGCCTGGCATGGAGGGATGGGCCTGGAGTGGAGATATGAGCCTGGAGTGGAGATACAGGTCTGGAGTGGAATTATGGGCCTGGAGTGGAGATATGAGCCTGGAGGGAGATAGGAACCTGGAGGGAGATATGAGCCTGGAGTGGAGATATGGACCTGGGGTGGAGATAGGAGCCTGGAAGGGAGATATGGGTTTGGAGTGGAGATATGGGCCTGGAGTGCAGATATGAGCCTGGAGGGAGATATGGGTTTGGAGCAGAGATATGGGCCTGGTGTAGAGATATCAGCATGGAGTGGACATGTGGGCCTGTTGTGTAGATCTAGGCCTGGGGTGTAGATCTGGATCAGGAGTCTGGGGTCTCTGCACAGCTGAGATCTCTGCTGCGGGGGCAGGTAGGCAGTCAGGGTGAGTTTACCTTCAGCCCAGCAAGGGCCTGGCTGCCCAGACGCACAGCCCAGTGGGGGCAGCAGGGGAGGCCCTGGTTTGCCTGCAGATGGATCATCCATCATGATCTTTCTTTCCAGGGTTCTTCTTGATCCAGACGACTTGTCCATACACGGTGAGTCCTTCCCCAAACTTAGGGTGTCATCTCCTCACCTAAGAGGATTTCCTGAAACAGGAGGGAAGTCCTGTCAGACAGTCTCTCATACAATAAGAAGGGGGGACCCTGAGGTGCTCGGCTCACACTTCTGACCTCGTCCTCTCTGGCCTTTCTTACCCTTGGCTGAGTCAAGCTCTGTGAAGACCGGGTGAGCTTGGGGTGCTCCAAGCTGAGGTGTGCAGGGAGGAAGTGGTGTCAGCGACTGAGGAAGGAGGGAAGCAGTGCTAGGAACAGCAGGTCCTCTGAGGACAAAGGTGTTACTCACACCCTCCAGTGTTTCCATGACGTCAGGGCTGCAGTGTGGCTGCTGTCATTCTACCAGAAGAGGTGGGGAAACCACAGCCATGACCCTGACATTCCATATCTTCTGATGGGGGATCAGTTCATGCACAGGCTGATATTCCATTCACAAAGGACATGCCCTCCATGCCGTGTCTACTTTGTGTTGTTTCATGTGAGTTATCTTGCAGTATTAAAATCTAATAAGAGTCCCTTATTCAGCACTTGTTCAAAGTTCTCAGCTGACACCTTTGTTGTAGGGAGATGCCATGTCTATGTGGGATGGGTCCTTCCTGTAGCCCTGGACACCCAGGTGCGGTAGGAGCCTTAGAAACATGGAAAGGGGAAGAATCTTCTGAGCACAGGGAGGGAGGGGCGGCTCCACATCCTCCTCTCTAAGGCGGCCCCTCCTTTTCCCCCAGGTGGTCAGGACAAGACCTCCCTGTCTGCCCGGCCCAGCGCTCTGGTGCCTCAGGGAGGACACGTAACTCTTCGGTGTCACTATCGTCGTGGGCTTTACAACTTTACCAACTTCACTCTGTACAAAGACGACAGAAGCCACGTTCCCATCTTCCCCGGCAGAATATTCCAGGAGAGCTTCCTCATGGGCCCTGTGACCCCGGCACACGCAGGGACCTACAGATGTCGGGGTTCATACCCGCACTCCCCCACTGAGTGGTCGGCACTCAGCGACCCCCTGGCGATCAGGGTCACAGGTCAGAGGGCTCCTGTCAGGGCTTCTCCTTGTCCCACCTCCTGAATCCCAGAGCTTCCGCTGGGGGTGTCCGTCAGGGTCCCATCACCCAGGACCTCACTGTCTTTGGGGTAAAGGGGGATTGAACACAGGGAAATGGGTGCTGTGATGGGAAGAATAACTGTCCACAATATGGCTACATTGTAATCCCTGGAGCCTGTGACTCTTTATGCTATAGGGCAGGGGACTGAAGGGGAAGATGGAGCTCAGGTTGTTGTGAGTTGACCTTGAGATGGGGAGACGGCCTGGACTGTCCCACTGGGCTCAGTGGAATCACAAGGCACCAAACGAGAGAAGGAGGAGAGGGGAGTGGGGATTAGAGCAGCGTCGTGGGAGACTGCACCAGCCACTGTGGGCTTTGAAGGTGGAGGAAGGCCACGATCCACAATGGCAGGTGGCCTCTACGGGCTGGAGAAGTCAAGAGAACTGCTCCGCTGAGTCTCCAGAGGGAACGCAGCCCTGTAGATGACTGGATTTTTAGCCCAGGGAGGACTGGATCCAATTTCTGTCTCCAGAAAGTGGAAGGGTCAGTGTGTTCTCTCCTGCTGCCATGTTTGGGATAATTTTCTGCCCCAGCAACAGGAAACCAACACAGGAATCAGGTCAAGGACGAGTTAGGAAACCAAACAAGGATAGCCGGGCATGGTGGGGCACGAGTAAACCAACGACTGGATTCATTGCTTGAATCCGGGAGGCAGAAGTTGCAGTGAGCCAAGACCACACCACTACACTCCAGCCTGGGTGAAAAAGTGACACTCTGTCTCAAAAATCAATTAATTAATCAATTAATAAAGAAACGAAACAAGGAGAAGGTTGGCAACCCCGAGATCAGCAAGAGCACAATGCTGATGCCACCACCAGGCTCCATCCACATAGGGAGGGTCAATGCTCCTGGAACCAGCACCAGGAGCCACCCTGTGGAAGCTGGCACCATGGTGAAGGCAGAGGCATGGCAGGAGAGGCTCCCAATCCCCACCAGGAACAGGGGGTGTGGACACTGGTGCCTGCCTTACTGATCAGTCCATTCCTCCTGCCAGGGACTCCAGTTTGTCCAAAACAGATTGAACCAGGCTGCTAAGAGCCTGGACATGCAGCCCGCCGTGGTTCCTCTTCCACTCCGGAAAAGATGAGTGGGAAAACAGATACAACAGCCTAAGAGATGAGCTGAGCCCAGTGGAAGGCGTCCTAGGCTACTAGAGACAGACGGACAGAGAAGAGGGAGGGACACAGATGGAGGGACCTGCACCAGGGGATAAAAGACAGGAGACACAGAGAGGAGGAGACAGACAGGACAGCCGGGAGGGGAACCCTCACTCGTTCCAGGTGCCATGGATATGATGACAAAGGAGACGCTTTCTAAATCACAACCTCTCTTTCTAGGAGTCCACAAAAAACCTTCCCTCCTGGCCCTCCCAGGTCCCCTGGTGAAATCAGGAGAGACGGTCACCCTACAATGTTCGTCAGATTACCGTGTTGAGCACTTCTTTCTGCACCGTGAGGTGACGTTTTGAGAGCCCTTGCACCTTGTTGGAGAGCGCCATGGTGGGGGTTCCCAGGTCAACTATTCCATCAATTCCACGACGTTCTGACCTTGCAGAGACCTACAGATGCTACGGTTCTGCCACTCACTCCCCCCTATTGTGTTGTCAGCTCCCAGTGACCCCCTGGACATCGTGATCACAGGTGAGAGTGTCAGGACATTCTTCTCATTGTCACTGGGACACAGAGTGAATGATCCAGGACTTGAAGCCCCGGGTTTCATGAGGAAGATGAGTGTGGATTCTTTATGGAGAGAGACTGACTTGGTGAGGTCTGTACCACAGAGACAGAGAAACAGGAGACACAAGTACAGACCACGGTCATAACAGAGACAGACACAGGAGCCATACAGGGAGGTAGAAAAGAGAGAAAGAGTTAAAGGGGACACCCAGACAGACAGACATGTCCCAGGAGAGAGGTGTCCTTCCATGCTGACTTTGCTCAGATACCTGGCACAGGTTAGAAATTTCATTCTGTTTCCTCCACAAAGTGTTTCTCTACCAGGAAACCCAAGGACACCCATATTTCTGTCCTGAATCAGCCCCTGTGGCCTTAGGCCTTGTGGCGCCTACAGACGCCATGTTGATTCTGACACCTCTGCCTTCCATGCAGTGAAAAGTCATCGTCCCAGGATATCATGGCCCCAGAACGCCAACCCCTGTATGCTGTGTGTACTTGGGGTCCCCAGATTGGATTCTGAGGCTCATATTCCAAATAACTACATATGATAGGATTCCTGAGAGACACAGAGAGAAATCAAGGACACCAAAAAGCAAGACCTAAACACATAGAATGATCCAGAGGAAGGAGATTGAGAGACTCACAGACACATAAAGAGAGAGGAAAGAGGCAGAGGAGTGGAGAGAATGATGGAAGGGAGCAGAGAAATCCCTAAAATTAGGGCCCTGAGGGAGGGGCACAAGAAGAGACAAAGATGGAGATGTAGGGATCGATTGCAGAGATTTCAAAGAGAACTAGAGAGAATGAGAGGCAGAGAAAGACAGAGAGATGGAGAGAGACAGCTGAGAGATGGACAGAGAGATATAGTTAGATGATAATAGGTAGATGGTAGATAACAGATAGGTTGTAGGTACATAGATGATGATTGATGGATTGATTGATAGACAGATGATACATAGAGATAATGATGATGAAGATAGACAGATGATACATAGAGATATAGAGGCAGACAGAGAGAGAGATAGATGATACACAGATATAGATAACACATAGGTGATTGATGGATAGAGAGCTAGATAGACAATTGATAGATACAGAGATAGATAGATGATACATAAATATAGATGATAGATAGATAATTTGTAGATAGACACCAAATAGATAAATAGATCGATAGATAATAGACAGAAATATGCAGAAAGTTGTGAACAGGAGAGAAAGTGAGAAACTCAGAATTAAAGAAAAAGGAAGATCAAGTCAACAACCCAAGGAGGGTCAGAAAGAATAAAACCATGCAAAAAGGGGAAACATTCCTCGGGGTGGGGAAGTGAGGTCAGAGACCTAGAGAGACAGACAAGGCAGAAGGAGAAAATAGACATGAAGAGAGAAGGGGCTGGAGGGTGAGAGAGAGCATTAGGCCATAGAGCGGGGGAGTGAGTTCTCAGCTCAGATGTGAGGGGAGCTGTGACAAGGAAGAACCTCCCTGAGGAAACTGCCTCTTCTCCTTCCAGGTCTATATGAGAAACCTTCTCTCTCAGCCCAGCCGGGCCCCACAGTGCAGGCAGGAGAGAACGTGACCTTGTCCTGCAGCTCCCAGACCTCGTTTGACATGTACCATCTATCCAGGGAGGGGGAGGCAATGAACTTAGGCTCCCTGCAGTGTCAAGTGTCAATGGAACTTTCCAGGCCAACTTCCTTCTGGGCCCTGCCACCCACGGAGGGACCTACAGATGCTTCGGCTCTTACCGTGACTCTCCCTATGAGTGGTCAGACCCGAGTGACCCACTGTCCGTTTCCGTTACAGGTGAGGAAAGCCCATGTCTGTCCCATGTCTTATGACCCTAGAGCCATAATGCTGGGATTACAGACGTGAGCCACCATGCCCAGCCTCTTTTTAGTTTCTTAAGAACTTCCATACTTTTCTCCATAATGGCTGTACTCGTTTACATTCCTACCAACGGGGCACCAGGATTCTCCTTTCTCTACTATCTTGTTTTGCCGGTATTGCAGATAAAAGCCATTTTAATGGGGTGAGATGAAAATTCATTGTGATTTTAATTTGCATTTCTCTGATGATGAGTGAAACTGAACACTTTTTCACACACATGATGGTCATTTATATGTTTTGTTTGTGGAGAAATGTCTGTTCAAGTCTTTTGCTCATTTTTTAGTTAAATTTTACTTTATTGAGTTATGTGATCTTCTTATATTTCTAGTTATTAATCCTGTCTCAGATGCATAGTCTGCAAATATTGGCTCCCATTCTGTGGGTTGTCTCTTCACTTTGTTGTTTGCTTGTTTTGCAGTACAGAAGCTGCTTAGTTTGATGTAATCCCAATGGTCTGTTTATTGCTTTGATTATTTGTGTTTTTGAGGTTTCAAACAAAATGTCTCTTCTCAGACAAATGTCCTGAAGCACTTCCTCAATATTTTCTTCTACGTGTTTCATAGGTTCAGGCCTTAGACTCATGTATTTATTCCATTTTGATTTGGTTTTTGTGGATGATGAGACGTAGAGCTGCAGTTTCATTCCTCTGCATGTAGATAACCACTTTTCCCCATATTGTTTATTGAAAAGACTGTCCTTTCCTGATTGTAGCCTCCTGGCACCTTTGTCAAAATGCATTGGATTGGCAGAGCGGGCATGGTGGCTCACACCTGCAGTCCCAGCACTTTCAGAGGCCAAGGTGGGTAGATCACCTGAGACGAGGAGTTTGAGGCCCGCCTGGCCAACATAGTAAAACCCTGTCTCCACTAAAAGTACAAAAATTAGCTTAGCATTGTGGTCAGTGCCTGTAATACCACTACTCAAGACTCTGAGGCAAAAGAATTGCTTGAACCCAGTAGACAGAGGTTGTTGGAACCGAGACTGCACCTCTGCAATCCAGCCTGAGTAACAGAGCAAGATTCCATCTCAAAAAAAAGAATGCCATTGAATGTAGATGCATGGATATATCTGTATTCTGCATTTCATTCCATTGTTCTATGCACCTTTCCTTATGCCAACGTCATGCTGTTTTGTTTACTACAGCTCTGTAACACATTTTTAAGTCAGGTAATGAGATGTTCCTGTTTTCTCTCTGTACCATAAACTCTCAAGACAATGGGAAACACATACAAAAATTATGGAGAAGAGGATCCCAGGACTCCCAGAGCCCAGTGTTGGATAACAGAGTGTTGGCCATGAACCAACCTCAAAGATTTCCCTTGAGTAGAGGACAGGCACCCTCATTTCCTCACCTCTCTCCCGTTTCTATTCTAGGAAACCCTTCACGTAGTTGGCCTTCACCCACTGAACCAAGCTCCAAAACCAGTGAGTAAAGAATCCCTCTTATCTCTGCTTTTGGAAACCTGGGGAGGTGGAAGCCTTGGATTCAAGCCTTGGCTCAGCACCTCCCAGCTCTGACCGTGGGCCTGTCTTCCACCATCTCTCTGAACTCCAGACACTCCAACAGCAAAAGGGATCTTGGCCCAGCACAGGGCTCAGTGAAGTCTCTTAATCTCTAATTTTCTGTAGCTGAGACCTCCTACAAGCTGAAAGAATGATTGCAAATCTGACATCCTTCTCAGGAAAAATGCAGTGTTCTCCCTGCATTCCTAACTGGAGGATAAATTCCTGGGGGCTTGAAAGAGGGAAGGGAAGGGAACATCTAATGAGGGTGAGGTGTTTTAGAGAAGTTCCACTTGCCAAGGAATGAACTCCTGTGGGTCATGAGGCAACCCTGGCTGACTCAGCAGAGCCAGAGCCTTGCAGTAAAGAGCCTTGCACGCACACTCCGACTCACTGACTCATTCAGCCATGGCCCCATGCTCAGGCCGTGCAGTTAGAATCCTTTTCTATTGTTGCCATAACAATTTCCACAAAATTGGTGGATGAAAACAAAACGGCTTTTTAATTATCTTACAGTGCTGTAGCTCAATGATGAAATGCACCTCACTGGGCTAAAATCAAGGTGACAGCAAGGCTGCCTTCCCTCCGAAGGTTCCAGGCGAGAATCTGCTCTTCACATGTCCCAGTTTCTAGAGGCTCCCACGTTCCTTGGCTCCTGGTCCCCTTCCTCCTTCCTCAAAACAGAGCAGGAGAAAGCTGGGTCTCCCGCCATCAGGCCGCTTGTCCTAAGGAGACATTCCACATGGTTACCTGTCAATCAAGAAAGGAGAGACAATCCATAAGAAGGAAACTGCTATGATTAGCTTCTTATTGGAGTCTTTCTTCCTCCAGGTAACCCTAGACACCTGCATGTTCTGATTGGGACCTCAGTGGCCATGATCCTCTTCACCATCTTCTTCTTTCTCCTGCATCGCTGGTGCTCCAACAAAAGAGTAAGTCTCACGAAGCAGAGGCCAGACCTCAGGGTCGTGGGGAAGCGGGATGGGAGCAGGAAGGTGTGTGTTCCTCACCGGCAGGATGGTCTCTGGCCCAAGGCAGAAGCCACAGAGGCAGAGCTTTCTAGAGAGAGCACCAGACACCCTGTCCCTGCCTTCAGCTCACAGACCATTGCCTGATTCTCAACTGTATCCTCATGTCCCTGCAGCCACTGACATCCAGGAGAAGGTTCCATGACAGGCAGAAAGTGGGAGGCAGAATCAATGGGATGGAAATTGAGAGCCATTCATGGGAAGGGGTCTTGAACTCAGAGAAACAGAATGTCTGAGCCTCGCTGTTGGCAGCTGAGGCACCTCAGGCGTCTACGGCCTCCCCTGTGTGTTGTACTCTGCACATGAAATGAGGACCCAGAAGTGCCCTCCCAGCTGTTTTGATGACTTTTGTCTCCTACAGATGCTGCTGTAATGGACCAAGAGCCTGCGGGGGACAGAACAGTGAACAGGGAGGTAGGTCCTCCTCGGTCCAGCCTCGTGAATCGAATCTTATTCCCTACTAGTCCTGAAGAATGTGAGCCCCTCCCTCACTCAACATTTCCCTCTCTCCAGGACCCTGATGAACAAGACCCTCAGGAGGTGACATACGCACAGTTGGATCACTGCGTTCTCACACAGGGAAAAATCACTTGCCCTTCTCAGAGGCCCAGGAGACCCCCAACAGATACCAGCGTGTACACGGAACTTCCAAATGCTGAGCCCAGATCGAAAGTTGTCTTCTATCCATGAGCACCACCGTCAGGCCTTGCAGGGGTCTTCTAGGGAGACAACAGCCCTGTCTCAAAACCGGCTTCACAGCTCCAATGTGCCAGCAGCAGGAATCTGAAGGTGT